AAATTATATTGGCTTGAAGTCCTGAAAGTGACTTAAGAAATTGACCAAATCAAGAAAAGAAAAAAAAAATCAATTCCCTGAGAATAAAATCTAGCCATATTTTTACATATTTCTATATTAAGCTTACATGCCAGAACTGACATATTCCATCTGTACATCAAACCGCACAGGTTCATCACCCAGCTGAAGGACACACAGGAAATTTACAGTAGAGGAAGGAACTGAATCTAGGATTTCTGACCCACCTTCTCATGCTCTTTCTTATTGAGAGACATCCTCCACATAAGAATTAATTAAGAAATAGTAATTTGTAGGAACCAATACTTGCAGCATAGAGAATGAAAACTCTGCTATTGCAATTCAGTATTGTCATCTAAACAAGAAAATAACAGTAACTTGGCAAGGTAAGAAGGCACTCATGACAGAAGACGATGGCTGTCAAGGAGGTCTGCAATGCTGAAGTGCTCTGATTTCACACTAATTCAATTGCAAGTGAATCAAATTTACCTTCTTTTTCCTTGAGGGTATTTAAATAGGAAAGTAGATTTTCATTAGCTTGCACGCAGTACATTTCCCGGGTTTGAATGCCACCTCCACACAGCGCTGTCTGATTTCCTCGCCTCTTGTCCTGTTGGCTAAGGAGAGGATCGACACGGCATTCTGTCCACTCTGTGGTCCGCCAACCGTACCTGCATCAAATTTGATTAATTGGGTCTTTAGAAATCATGAAGCCATTTTACACAGCATTAAGTTATACAAGGTGAAACACCTTAACAGCTTTATTCATTTTCTAAAAGGTCTGAGCCCCACAATTTCTTGTACACAGAGATGCGTTAAGTCTGGTGTTTTATGCAGGTGGAAGCTTTTCCTCTATTATTTCATTTTTGAAATCAGTACTTTTTAGGAAGATCTTTTCTGTTCAATTCCTGAAACATACCATGCACATAACTATTGTATTGGAGGGAAGAAAAACTTGACATACACAGACATATAGTCTATGTCCAGATAAGCCAACTTTTGAGATTGTGACTCAGCGCTTGCTTAGAGCTAGACAACTTATATGAACCAAAGCCAAAATATCAAAGAAACATAAGAACGAGGAGAGGAGAGGGGAAAAAACCCCACAACAACCCAACCCCTCCAAAACAAAACCTCTAGTTCATCTTTTATAAGAGAGACAGAAGTTTCTCCTGAATATCAAGGTAAAACTATAATTGTATTTTTAAATTATTACAAGAGGAGAGGAGAGGAGAGGAGAGGAGAGGAGAGGAGAAAAAAACCCACAACAACCCAACCCCTCCAAAACAAAACCTCTAGTTCATCTTTTATAAGAGAGACAGAAGTTTCTCCTGAATATCAAGGTAAAACTATAATTGTATTTTTAAATTATTACATCAGAAAACCTTTCAGTAAGTCCCTTTTTCACTGTCAAGAGGAAGATGGCTCTGCAGTACTGAAGCATCCCTGCTGGGTACTGATGAATGATGAGAAGCTGTGTGCTTTCTAATCAGTGAATGCACAGGAAAGAAGATCTGTGACTCCCAGTTAAAACCCCAATCAGGATTATGAACCGCAAGAAATGCCACAGAGTTCTCTACCCAACAAGTACTTTAAGGCTAAGTCAAGTGAACTGCTTCCCAATGTGGCTGGAGATGGGGAAAGATGACATCTCAACGCTTAAACGAAAAATATGTACCGCTAGATGACTTTCCCCCAGCCACTCTTCTCAGTCTGATAAAGAAAAAGGACAGTTGGGACTTTAACATTAATCTCAATTGATAAGGATTACAGCAGTCTCTTGAATCGTAAAGTGCTTGCTGTCATTTCTGCTAAACTTTAAACAGGGTTAATTTATTTACTGTCGCTGTTAGCCTCTCCCACTTTCCATTTGGGGCCCAGTCCTGGACTTTCCCCCAGCCACTCTTCTCAGTCTGATAAAGAAAAAGGACAGTTGGGACTTTAACATTAATCTCAATTGATAAGGATTACAGCAGTCTCTTGAATCGTAAAGTGCTTGCTGTCATTTCTGCTAAACTTTAAACAGGGTTAATTTATTTACTGTCGCTGTTAGCCTCTCCCACTTTCCATTTGGGGCCCAGTCCTGCCTTTGCTGTGCTGAATATGTCTCACTAAAAAAGTCTGGTTGCTAACCGGTCGTTTATTACTTCTTTCCTATATTCAGGATTTTGCCTGAAATATAGGCAAAATCTGTTTGCCTGTGCAAACAGACAAGTACTTCAGAAAACAATGATTCTGATAGAAATGTAGGGAAAAGATCACTGAAAAATTAGTAAAATTAATTTATTATAGTCTTGATGGTGCCTGCATATGCACAAATGTTCTCTTTTAAAAGTTAACACTAATGAAAAAATATGTATTAGTTATTTTTCCTTTTTTTAGAGGAGGAAGTGATTTCACTATAATAAGAGCTATTTGCAGACTTCAGGCTTTTAAGAAGAGCACTGAATAAGCAAAGGATTAAAAAAAAAAACCAAACCCCAAGCCTATTATTTCTTTAATAACGATTTGGTTGATATTCCATTACCAGCCCTGTACACTTAATTGAAATTCTTATTTTTGCTATAGGGAGAAACGAACCAACTTACGTAATGCACGGTGCCACACCATCTCCTTGAGAAACACACTGCTCTGTTTCTTCTAATTGCGGACATTCACTTTCACTGCCGACAGGGAGCTGTTTAATGGTCCGTGATCTTGTACGATTCCCTTTAGGGGTTGTCATGTCAAAGCAGGTTTTGGAGCAGGGGGTCCATTCTGACCACTCTGACACCTGGCACTCCTTCGTGATCACGCAGGACTGGAACGTAATGGGCAACTTGTCTTGTTTGCAGAAGCTGTAATAAGAGAGAATTACAATTTTCAGCACACATATCCAAGGACAGTCATGAACTCCTACAGAACAGTAATGTCCTTTACAACATGCAAAGTCAGTAAATGTTTGTAAAGCTGTTAAGTTCCAGTCCACATATATTTGATCCCAAAAAGTCAGGCAAAAGAGCTTTTGGTTAAAGTGGCTCAACCCAGATACATAAGATTTGCTGCAGTCAGAAATAACCAGTATTGCCATATCTGTGATCAAAATTAAAATACAATTCTTCATACATATATAGAAATAAAAAAGAGGAAATAAATCAATTTTCCACCACTTATCTTTTATTCTTAGGTATACTCAACAAAAAGGAAGTGAAGGATCAATAACAGAGACGGCTATACAACGTTTTTGAAGAGAACCAAGTGCTCAATGTCATCTTCTCCTCGTTTCCAGACTACAAATTGTTTAAAAATGTAATGTCAAATATATTGAATACCTGGTCACTAACAATTTGCTTTGTTAACAGCTGGTATATTGCCACAGTGATGCCCCATGGTGTAAAAGAGGAGTGATTTCTCCCTCGAAATAGAGCCTTCCCTGCTACCATAGCCTTAATTTTCTGTTCCTCATGGAGGCTGTCATTTAATTTCCATTCTCCATCTGATTGTTTCATTCACATATTACACAGTTTATCATCAAGATTTTCTTCCTCTAAATGCCTCTGTAATTTCAAATGTTATATTCTAACTAGAAACTAACATTTCTACTTTAAAGCTTGATTCACAATAGGAAAATGAGCAATAGAGAAGCTAAACTGCAATTAAAGTGATCATAACTTTAACTCCTTAATTATAATTACAATGTAAATATATTTGTCATGTCTGTTTTGGAATAAAATTCTGGCTTCTGAAGTAGTTAAACAGGCAGGAAAAAGATTTATTGGCACTGCAGATGGCACAAAGAAGCACTGTTCAGCACCAGTCCTATAAACAACACAACAAAGGCTCATTTTTTTTCCCTTTAATAGAATACAAAAAAAAAAAAAAAAAAAGAATAATGAATATTTAAAACATTTATGTCGCTATACAAAATTTTGTCCTACCCATATATCCAACATTGTGTTGGACTGCTACTAACAAAATTTTGTAATACTAGAACTAGGGATACTTGATGAGACTAACAGGAGATTTGAAAACATGATAGATGAAAGTCCTTCTATAGACAAGAGGCAGAGCAATTCTACATCTTGCTAACAGAAGATCCTGGTTGTGGAGACAGACAGTGTCAGCAGGTTCAGAAAGAGGTTGGATGAATTTGTGGACAATAGGCGTATATATAGATACAAAAATGACTAGGCAGTGATATTCTAGCCAACATCCCTAATACGTTACCTTTGGATACTGGAGAAATACAAAGGGAATGGACTGCAAAAGGCAGCCAGGGCTCATATTCTTGGTCTTTAGAAAGCATCTCCCTTTACCTTTACCTGCTGGCTCAACAGACCACAGGGAATTACTCAGAAGGGGATTTCTTATGTTCTTATCATGTGAAAGGCAGCGGTGGTGGGAAACCCTAACACATGATATACAACATTTATTCTGCTTAAGGACAGAAACTACACCTTGTTTGGAGTGAAAGACACTCAAAGTTTTTTGAGAAAATTGTTCTTTAATAATGGACTTTTTTAACTTCATCTAGCAACATCTGGCATAGGACTACATTACTGCCAAATTCAATATATCAGTTTCTGTACCTTTCACAAAACACATAGACTCATTTATCCCACAAAGACACATATTTCAATGACTAGAGAAAAGATCTATTCCTCACGGATTCTAATACGGACAGTATTTGCAAATTGTTCTAGAGAACAGATGACATATCACCTCCTCCCAAGTTCCCTTCCAGTGTGACTCCTCTAAGCGCAAAGCCAGCTTCTTCATTCGTACTGTGACTGGGGCTGAGTTTAAATATAGATGCATATTGCCAGAAAACATGCACAAAATTACCACCACAAAGTAGCTTTGGTGCAAAGTGAAGAGATCGATTAATGAGGAGTAATTCTCCATGGGCTTTACACCTGCTTCAAAACTTATTTGGGAGAAATGTTATATGAGAAAGTAATTCTCAATAGTCGTTTAAATAAATAAATAAATAAATAAATAATCTGTCTTCATTAACGCTACTTTCAACCTGCCTGTATCCCCTAACTGTCACGAACCCTAAAGTTGTCCGTGGCAGTGACTGGCTGTGATTCCTGCACAGCTTCATGCAGAGATTGTTTCCTTCCCTGATAAGGGAAACCTCCACTACAACACAAAGTGTTCAAGTTCTTTAGAAATGCACTGGAGAAATGAGACCTTGACCTGCAACAGAGCTCAGAACTAGTGCACTTAGTTTTAAAAAGTAATATTCTCATCTAATTAAAAGGGAATTTTTATCACAGATTTTCTGAACAAAGTGGAAAAAAAACTGACAAAAATTGAACCTGTGTATTGGGAAAAGAAAATGTTTTTCCATAACCATAATTGAAAAAAAAAAACCAAAAAACTCCACTTTAACAGCAAGTTGTCAATCAACTCCACTTAAAAATTAAGACCAGATGTACAATCTAATGATATTTATTAATTTTAAAGGATATAGTCACTTCCTGAAAGACTACTATACATCCCAGGCACTTTTCAGATTCCAAATTCTATTAGATCATTCATGAAGAATTCAACATAGGCATTGCTGCAACTTTAGATAACAAATTTTCATTTCACAGATCCTTAAACTGTAATTGCTAAATATGCAAAAAGAACTCCTGAAGTTTCTCACTTTTCAGTACCCCTGTAATCTTGAATGCCATTATGCTGAAGTCCCTCTGTGGATCATGATGCAAAGCATTTTGAAAAATTTAGACATAGATTTGTTCGCAGGACTCAACTGAAGAGTTATTTGGTCAGTGGCATAAGATTCAGCAAGCTAGTACCTTCCACCTCATGCTCATTTTACGTTTTATTAAAAGCTGCTGTTATAGCTTATATAATTAGAATGGACTTTTTATCTTGTTTGTTAATGATTATTTTAATATGCAGGTATGAAGAGGACCAAATAGAATTGTACCATGTTACTATCCCCATTGTTTATTTATGATCCTTGACAGAAGAAAAGCAATAGAGTTAAAGCATGCCTCACTTCAAATATTCACTTTTTAAATTAATCAATTTTAAATTAAATATAAAACAATTAAGTTCTTAAGTTCTTGTAACCAGAACATAAATATTACTAGGGAGACAAACAAGAGGCAAAGTGAGTTATGCATTTATTTTCTTGTTTGCTTATTAAAACCATGCACCACTTGCAGCATTACGTAAATACTGACAAGTAACTGATACTGTAAATCACCAGCAAACAATCTCTTTACTGTTATACATACTGTCAGATCATTTTTGTGAGAGGGCAGAGGCAGTTACAATTAGCAAAATAAGCGTCAGACAAGAAAATTAGCTGCTGTTTCTTCTTTTAACACTTGGTTTTCTTTGAACAAATTAGAGAAATTGTGAGAGCTAATTGCAAATGGCCATAATCAAAAGTTTTTCTTCATGTTGCAGGCAGCAAGAGAAGATATACTGGATTACAAGACCTGTAACTCTTAGTGTTGGATTTAGCAACAAGTAGGAACTAAGGAAGCATCACATTTAAACTCTCAGTATCACACATCTCTCTAAACAGGACCCAGTTAAAACTCTTAAGTAAATGATTATGGAAATGCTTCAAACTCTTTGAAGTCAATAGAGTAGCTTTCAGAGCAGATTACAAATCCTTTCCATCACTACCACATTTCCCTGTCCAAAGTGCATGTATACCAATTACCAGCAACTAAACTAATCTATACTTAAAGACATGTTCCATCTCTACACATCCCTCATTCCCAGGAAATTTGGGAACAATGATTTGACGTTCCAAAGTCACCTCTCATTTTTCAAAGATTATTTTTCTTCTTCTTTTTGACTTTGGACACCTTCAAAATAGTTGCAAAACATTTTCAAACTTCATCTTACCAAGAGAAACATATGTTTCTCAAACCTTTCACTGGAGATGACTGTATATAGACAGACATTCATAATTAAACTTACTAATACTGTATTATATAAAAATGCTAACTCTGAAAGATACATGTACCATTTAAAAAGTTCAGCCTAAGTAATACATTAGCTGAGACAGTTGGTCACATTTCCTTTAAATGTCTGATCCAAGAAACTGCATAGATTGATTCTAAATCAAGACCTGGGAATGTCTTTGCTACACAAAATAGTGTCTTCTGGGTTTGGTACCTAAAGTTACAGATTTGATCTCCACAAATTATTTAAAGCAAAGCTTAATTTCAGGCAGATCGATCAATTTATGCGTCTGATTTAGTTACCCAAAGTTGGATGAATCTTCTCACAGGAGAAAAAGCAAATGGGGAGGTAACATATCAGAAGATAAAAATAGGCAGCTAACATTCATTTCATGATACCACCCAAACCACTAGAAGCTCTGCATCAAACATCTCCATTTTATTTTTAGTGATATCTAAGCCTACACTATGCACAACATTAGCCATTCAGAAAGTGCAGGAGTGCACAAACAAGTCCTCACTATCAACCCACACACCTCTGTCCAGATAATTGCTTGGGAAGCTCAAAGAAAAGTACATGAGTTGTATTACAATGCTGTTATAAGACAACAGAGCAGGCTGGATACAAGAAGGAACTTGCTCTCAATCCAGTGAATGCATTCAAAGCAGTGTCCTAAGTATCTGTCTGCCTTCTGGCAAGGAAGAGGGCGTTATATAATTTGAAGTAAGGCTGTGGTTTGAGAAAGAACAATTTCATACAAAATATAGGTGTAGTGGGGAACTGAAGTTTAAGGTATATAAACAGGTAGATGACGCAGTGAGAAAAGGCAGTCCCAAGCACAACAAAATATCACAGGGGATGAATAAGTCCTATTGCTATTAAGCCAACATCAAACCTATTCCTGACCTCAGACTTG